GCAAAAGACACGAGAGCATTTCTCTCGTTGTCCCGCAGACGAGCCTTCCCTCCCTCCCCGCGTTTCCCTCCCTTCCCGCGTTTCCCTCCCGAGCAGCAGAGGTACTAACCCGCCCTTCTCCCCCCCTGCAGGAGGAATGAGGTGATGGGGCGGGCGGTGGGGGCAGCGGTGGCCATGGCCGCCACGCTGGCCTTGGTTGTCAGCGCCACAGCCCACGACGGCGCAGGACCCACGCACTTCAACATTGGCGGGATCCTCTCCAACAAGGAGTCGGACGCGCACTTCAAGAATACCATAATGGTAAGTAAGCAGAGGAGAGCGGGGGGAGGAGGGGGGAGGGATTCAGGGTTGGGTGGGTTACGGTAGGTTAAGGTGGAGTAGGTGTGGGCCGGGCGGGTTGAGAGAGAGAGAGAGAAATCAAACCACATAAACACAGAAACAAATAACGACACATGCATAAATCTACAGAGAGAGAGAGAGAGAGAGAGAGAGAGAGAGAGAGAGAGAGAGAGAGAGAGAGAGAGAGAGAGAGAGAGAGAGAGAGAGAGAGAGAGAGAGAGAGAGAGAGAGAGAGAGAGAATGCAATTGAAAAGCTGATGCTGATTAGCTCAATACAACATTCCAGAAGACCACTACTGTTTTCCAAATAATTATGATCTCTAACCTGTTAATTATCAAGTAATTATTACCTCCACCGTGTCAGTTATCAGATAACTGACATGCTAACCTGTCATTAATTATCATCAACCTGTCAAATATCAAAGAATTAGCCTCAATGACTGTCATTTTATAAGTCACCACCAGCCTGTCAAGTGCAGTTTATGTCAACACGTTTAGACACGTTGAAACACGCTGGGAACTCAAGACGGAAACAGAGAAGGGAAGAAAACAAAATACAGGGGAGAGAATAAACTGAAGTTGAACAGAATGAATGTACTGGGAAAGAGACAGAAGGACGAGAAGAGATATTTGTCAAAATAGGGGGGGAAAGAGAGAACAAGAGAGAGAGCCAGAATTTACGAAAATCAAATAAATATTTTGATGTTCTTTTGTCTGAGTGAAGACTGGCATCATGCTTTGGGGAAGTTGTTAGTCTATACTACTACTCTATGTTGGGATGTTGGGAACTTAGGTTTTCTGAGCAACTGCTATGTAGTTATTTTCTTGTACCATGTAATATGCCATTGTAATGCAGGTACTGCAAAAAAGATATTTCTGCAGAAGCATATCATAGTGCTTAAAGTTAATGTGATCATATTATTACAATGGCATATGTTTGAGAGAGAGAGAGAGAGAGAGAGAGAGAGAGAGAGAGAGAGAGAGAGAGAGAGAGAGAGAGAGAGAGAGAGAGAGAGAGAGAGAGAGAGAGAGAGAGAGGGGGGGAGGGAGGGAGGGAGGAAGGGAGAAATAGATAGAAAGATAGAATTATATATATATATATATATATATATAGAGAGAGAGAGAGATAGATAGAGAATTGTATGCATTTGTCGCTGCCTCTTCTTCTTCACACGTGATTTTGATTAATTCATTAATTAGAGATTTACACATCAAAATATGTAATTTACAGAGCATATCGCTTCTATCAGCAGACACACATGCACACAGACACACACGAACACACTCAGTTAGATACAGATACATAACACTCACACACACACACACACACACACACACACACACACACACACACACACACACACACACACACACACACACACACACACACACACATATATATATAGATATAGATATAGAAAGATATAGATATAGAAACAATGAGTCAGACAAAGACATAAACATAGACAATAAGAACAAATCCCAAGGCACCAAAAATATTGAGGAACATGACGGAAAACTAAGAAACAAAAACAGACAGGCAAACAAAGAAACATTAAAACAGGCAGAGAAACTGAATAAATAAAGAAATGTAGAAATACATATGCACAAACAAGATTATGAAATGACAACCAGACAAGATATTATGGGAGAGGAAGGGGTAATGGCCACGAGAGAGAGAGAGAGAGAGCGAGAGAGGGAGAGAGAGAGAGAGAGAGAGAGAGAGAGAGAGAGAGAGAGAGAGAGAGAGAGAGAGAGAGAGAGAGAGAGAGAGAGAGAGAGAGAGAGAGAGAGAGAGAGAGAGAGAGAGAGAGAGAGAGAGAGAGAGAGCGAGAGCGAGAGCGAGAGCGAGAGAGAGAGAGCGAGCGAGCGTGCGTGCGTGCCTCCCCCGGAGCGCGGTGCGGGGCACTCAGCTTCAACTGCTTCCTCGCGTGTTGCCAGCAGCAGATAAACGAGAACAGGACGTACGGAGATCCCAACGCCCCGCTGGTTGATGTGACGATGCTCATGGACTCCAACCCGATCAGGACGGCGCTCGAAGTGTGCAAGCAGCTCGTTTCGCAGTCGGTGAGTGGACGCCTGGCGGGGGGCGGCGCCCCTCCAGGGTGCTGGGCGCTGGCGTCAGCCCTCGCAGTGGTGTTGCTACTGGTATTCACACTGGTAATGGTGTTGATACTGGTATTAACACTGGCAGTGGAAGGGCTATTAACACTGGCAGTGATAGTGACACTGGTATTAACATGAACTCCATCATGGCACTACTATTGGTATAGATATTAAAAACAATACCAGTGTTGATGTTGACATCAATCACTGCTGTTAATGGCACTGCCGCTGGTGTTGATGTTGATTCCGAGACATGTTAATACATGTGTAAGTAAGAGCACAAACACTGCCAGAGTTGCCTTGAGAAGCTAGCGCCGCCACACCAAGAGGCCCTTTGCTGCTCTATTCTCGCTTCTTTCTGCGTCATTTGTTAGGCGTTTTGTTAACTTTTCTTTTCTTGGGCTTCGCCTAATATGGCTTATTTTATGATGAGTCTCTTATCTGATTCATTTCCTTGTATTCATCCTTGTATTTTTGTTTTCTGCCTTTTTATGTGTTTTTTTCTATGTCTCATTTAATATATTTTTTCTATCTATTGTTATTCTTGTTTTCCTTTTTTGTTTTAGTTTCGTCATTGTCCATGTCTCTTTGCTATATCTGTTTCTTGTTTATTTCTTCATAAGCATTTGTTATCTGCCTTTTCTGTATGTTATCTTTGTTATTAGTGTTATGTCAGTTCCTCTCTTCTCTGTTTTTGTTTCCTTTCATTTGTTTTGTTATTCACTTCATATTACTTCATACCACTATGGAATGCTTATGTCTTATAAAAAAGTGCTAGTCTGTTGAATTAATGAGCCGCAGAATTATCATTATTATCATTATCATATTTTTCCATTTTCAGATTTCGTTATCTATCAATTTTTCATCTCTGTCTTCGTGACATTTCCGGTGTTGCTGATGTTATTAACATCTCACAGATGCTGGAAGCACTATTATCACTTAATATCACTGTCATTATTACTTCTTCCGCTATTAATACTGATAATTATGCTACGCTCTTGCTACCTCTACTACTATTCTTAGAAGATAAGATAAACCGCCATTACTACTTTTATTACTGCTACTACTACTACTTTTTTCTACTACAACTGCTACAAGACTACAACATTTCTCCTGCTGACCCATCACTAAGCTCTGTTTGCCTGCCCGCCCATTGCTCAACCACTACCCGCCCCCCATCCCTCCATTCAGTCCCATTCGGCTGACCCTCGCCTTTGGGCTCCAGCCAACCCGGTCACTTCTTCGTCTCCCACTTGTAAACACTTATTCAACGCTTACTCTTCGAGCCATCAGCCACCGCTCGTCCTCCAACTGTCCCCTCCTCCCGTCCCGTTATTATTACCATTATTCTTATCACTATCTAACCCCGCCCCCCTCCCCGCGCAGGTCTACGCGGTGATCGTGTCGCACCCTCTGAGCGGCGACCTCTCTCCCGCCGCCGTCTCCTACACCAGCGGGTTCTACCACATCCCGGTCATCGGCATCTCCTCCAGGGACTCGGCCTTCTCAGATAAGGTGCGGGAGGGTCTTGGTGTCCCTGGAAAATGTGGTTGTTGGTGGGGGGGATATTAGCCCGTTGGTGTTGTTGAAATCGGCATTGTTGTTGTTGTTATTATTATTATTATTATTATTATTATTATTATTGATGATAATTTTCTTACCATTATGCTTCCTCGACCCTCGCTGATCCCGTAGGTCCCAGAGCCTCAGCCCCCCCCCCCCCCCAACGACATCACAGCCGTCCTCCTCAAATTCTCCTCGACTTCTCTCCTTCGCAGAATATTCACGTCTCGTTCCTGCGGACGGTGCCGCCCTACAGCCACCAGGCCGACGTGTGGGTGGAGCTCCTGAAGACCTTCCAGTACACGCAGGTCGTCTTCGTCCACTCCTCCGATACGGACGGAAGGGCGCTGCTCACTCGCTTCCAGAATCAGGCTCAGAGCCACGAGGACGACAAAGACATCAAGGTATCTGTGGGGCTGCTTCTGTATGCCCTTCGTCTGTGTTTCTTCTGATTTCTTCTTTCCTCTGTTTTCCTCGTTTCTTTTCATTCTCTAGGTTTTTGGTTCCGAGTGCAAAAGTGTAGAAAATTCATCCGCATGATGAGTTGAGGAATTGGAATCTCGACAACTTAGTAACATTCTCTCGGAGAGAATGCAGTCGTTTACCCTAACTTCCCCAGCCCTGACTCGAGTCTGGTTTACCTTAGACATTAAATGAATCAATATAGTCTTAAGAGAAAGAAACATATACAGACTGTCCATTAGAGAAATATAGCGAAAGAAAATACAAATTATACACGCTATCCTATAAACCGGCGTTTATACTAACTGCCCCTCGGTTGCAGATGGAAAACGTGATCGAGTTCGAGCCCGGCCTCAATTCCTTCGTGGACAAGCTGAAGGAAATGCGGGAGGCCTCTGCGAGAGTCTTCCTTCTCTATGCCAGGTACGCAGGTCCTCCGTGCCCGCGGGTGGGCATCAGACCAAAGATGTGGCGGCGGGGAGGGTATACTGATGTGCTACGGAGGTTTTTAAGACAAGAGCTCGATGCAGACTTGCTAAGAAACATCCACTTTGGAACACAGTGTCTGCTTAAAGATACAGACACGCAGACTCTTATTATATTGACACCGAGTCTTCTTGAGGTTCTGAGGCCGGATATTAGATGATAATGATGATGGCGGTGATGAATATGATGACGATGATACTGATTATGATGGTAATAATAAACTACTTCTTTCTCCACCCTTTCCCCCTCACCCACACTCTCCCTCCCTCCCTCCCTCCCTCACCCCCTACACCCCCTCACCCCTACAGCAAGGAGGACGCCCGCACGATCTTCCACGACGCAAGCTACATGAACATGACCGGGCGTGGGTACGTGTGGGTGGTGACGGAGCAGGCCCTGAGCGCGGAGTACGTCCCTTCGGGCACCATCGGCCTCAAGCTCGTCAACGCCTCCGATGAGGACGCCCACATCACAGACAGTTTGTGAGTGGGGAGTGAGCGGGGGAGGGTGGGCGTGGGGATGTGTGGATGGGTGTGGAAGGCGGTGGGTGGGCGTGGCAAGGATGTGTCGGTGTGGGTGGATGGACGTGGCTGGGTATGGGCGTGTATGGGCGGACATGGAGGGTGTTGGGTGAATGTGGTGAAGATGGGTGGGTGTGAATGGGGATGAATGGGTGTGGTTGGGTATGGGTGGGGAAGGATGGGGATGGGTGGGTATGAAGGGGGAAGGGTGGGTCTGGGCGGGGGTGAAGGAGGAAAGGTGAGTAAGTGTGGGCGCGTGTGGGTGGGGATGGAGATGGGCGGGTGCGGGGCACTGGAATAGCTGTGTAGGTGGGTGGAATATGCGTGGATATGTGAGTGTGATACCTATGTTACTATATAAGTATATGCCATTATATAGATGGATCTGTGATAGATAGTTTGATGTACATTAACGTGCAGTGTGTCCAGCTGCTTCTGTATTTCAGTTCCCTTAAAAATGAGCATCAATACATATTGTATAACTGTGTGCGAAAATGTCAATGAAAACGCAAATAAAACAATGTCCAAGCCTGGCGGAGCGTCGAACTAAGACCCGTCCGTCCCACAGATACGTGCTGGCGAAGGCGCTGAAGAAGCTGCGGGAGGAGGAGAACGCGACGGAGCCTCCGCCGCAGAACTGCGACAACACGGGCGCCTCGTGGGAGACGGGGAAGAAGTTGTTTCAGTGCGTCCCTCGCTCTTTCGTCTGGGGCGTTGGTCCCTCCCTGCGGCTCAGGGGCTGCGGGAGCTGGACTTCTTGCTTTGGGCCTCACGCTTTCCTCTCTGTCTTCCTCTTCGTCCCATTTCCTTTTTGTCTTCTACTTTTTTCTCTCTGTATAGATACAGAATTCTCATGGCCTTTTTATATGCCTATTTCATGATTGTAGCTGCAGTAGAAACGTTCATTTCTTCTACATCTAACACATTAATAAGCAGTTTAGTGTCAGCTGCGACGATGGCTGTTATGGCGTCGGCGATCTGGCAGCAGAGAAGGTGATGCTTTAGAAGTTCCCTGCCAGTCATTCCTCCTTCAGGAATGTACTTCAGAGGAGGAGCAGCGGGACGCCCTTTTCCTCCTCCACCTTCAAGGCGCTCCTCCCTCACATACACAAAACACTCCGAAGGAAAGGGCGTCCTGTCTTTGTCTTCCCTTCCTCCTTCCTAACCTCCGCCCTCCCCCCTGGCAGGTACATCCTGGAGCAGGTGCTGAAGGAGGGGCTGACGGGCAAGGTCGCCTTCGACGAGAACGGCGACCGCATCAACGCCGAGTACGACATCATCAACATCCAGGAATTTAACGAGACGGACGGCCTGAAGAAGGAGCACGTTCCCGTCGGACAATTCATATACAACAAGGTACGCTCGGCCTCCTCTCCGAGAGCCTCCGTGGGAAGCGAGGGCCCTTTTGGCGCTATTATTTTTTTTCATATATTCACATACAGATAGAGATACGTTGGTGGTGAGACTGTAATTCGCACCGTAGACACTTAATATTTTTGTTTACAGATCCCGAAGACATTGTTAGGATCATAGTTTTTTTTAAGGACATGATATCTAGTATACACTTTTGCTAGCTTGAATATAACAAGACAGAACGATGTGCACAGTGATGCTAAGCTAAGGGAATTTTTAATTTTGAGAGGTGAAAAACAGATCACTTGTTCCGCCAAACCAACGAGAGCTGAACGAGACAGTCAGGGCAGACTATTTTTCTTTTCCTTGATAACAATTCTATCCAGATTTCGTGGCTGTGAAAGACACACACGTACAGGTTCAAAGTCTTCACACATTTTCTTGTTACTTAACTATTAAAGCAAGCCTTGTTCTTGACTCGTTCATCTGTTCTCCTTGTTTCTTTGTTCTTAAATCCTAACACACCTTTCTTCCAATATTTAGAGAGATGAACCTCACTCTTCATGAGTCTCTTCCTGGATCCTAAAGCTCACTTTTCTTCAGATGGAAACTCAGACCTCTAATTTCAAAGGAAACTCATTTTACAGTTTTGCCAAAAAGTCATCAGTTG